CTCTCTCTCTCTCTTTTGCCCTTTTTAACTCCCAGTGGAGCACAGGCCATCAACAACATTACTCTAGTGAAGCCTGTCCAGAACATCCTTTTCTAGCTGTTTCCATGATGTCCCCGCTTTTTCAATTTCCGCTTGTACCGCTCGCCTCCATGTCATCTGTGGTCTTTCCTTCTTACGTTTTCCTAGTGGGTTCCACGTTAAATAATCAGTGTCATGAACTCATTGCAGACAGCTACTCCACCAAGAACGTGATCTTTCGATGGCACGACACGCCGATCATCACACGCGATCACCTCAAGCTGCCTCAGTTCCAATTCGACGACACACAAAATGTGGACTGCACCAAAGAATACAAAGAGACTGGTGGTAGTATGGCATCATCTGTTCTGTGCACCTAGAGCTCCCGGTTCCTTTTGTAGTGACGTCATCAGTCGTTGCTTTTTTGTAATTCTGGTGCCCTTTTTGTTTTTTATTTATTTTTGTTAGATTTTAACCCGGTATCGTCTGTGAGCGTACTGATGATATGGTTTTGAAGAATGGTCAAACCAATTACAGCCCTTTATTATTTTGCTTGCTGATGTTTAAACAATCCTTTCATTGAGTTTGGGTACAATACATTTTATAAACAAGAGTCACGATTAGAAATTCTGTTAAATGAAATCGACCCAAATTTCAGAGTGTGGTGGGCAAGAATTGTATGAGTTTCTTTTCATCCTACCTATGCCTACTTACAGATGATACCGACGTGGATTCTAATTTATTACACTTTTATTTTGTTTCAAAGCCACACTGGATCGGGTTGTTGTTTTTTCCAGTTAACCTGTTAGTTTTACTGTGTAAAATTACTAGTTAGCTTTCAGTAATCTGAAGAGCATGTTAACTTACATCTGTTTGGTGGGAAAAAATGCAAAAATATCAACAGAACTGGTTTTTATCGACTTAATAATAACAGTCTTTCTAAGCACGTCCCCGAAGATTTTATTAATTCTTTAAAGAAAAAAAGGAGACTTAATGGAAGTATTTATATCTTGTTTTACTTCCTAAAATGATAGCAGCGTACCAGGGATGAGTCGAGAAAAGATTTCAGACATGTCTGTAGTGATTATGGTAACAAACGTGACCTGACATTACCCATATTTACAAGAATGCTAATGGAAGGAAAAACTACTGGACACACACACACACACACACACACACACACACACACACACACACACACACACACACACACACACTCATATATATATATATATATATATATATATATATATATATATATATATATATATATATATATTTACACCCAGATATATAATTATATGGGCGCTCTGGCATTTTCAGCATTCGATTTCTGCAGTGAGCATGTGTGACCAACGCAGGTTTTCGTTGTATCTAACTGCACTGCATTCGTTTATCCTGAAAGGAAACGTTGCACCTTATGAAATATATAATGCACCAGGGAGAAAGAACAGTTATACGCTTAGTTAAATACATTCATTATCTTGTATTTGAAATATTTCAAATGTTAAAAACCAAGTTTTTCATTTCCTTTCAATGAATGCCTCATCAACATTAGAACTATTTTTGAACATCTGTCACTAGCTGTGCTTATCAGCGCACAGTTGTTTTTGCGAACCAGTGAGAATAATTTATTTCACCACCGATTTTTCACACCCTGAACGTCTCCGAAAATGTTTTTTTTTAAATTTTTTACTGGCGGATATGGGTTGAAAAGATGAAAATCATGAAGTTCTAGAGTCGCATTCCCCACGTGATAGAGTGGCATGCATTATGATAATTGTGTGAGAAAAAGTAAATATTAGAAACTTTCGATTTGCGGTGCAACGGTTCTTTGACCTTTTGTGTCTGGTTTTGATATTTTTACTCTTTTTGCCTATTTTGTGTAATAACTACTTGCCCCCCCCTCTATAATCTTCATCTACCTTCTCTCTCTCTCTCTCTCTCTCTCTCTCTCTCTCTCTCTCTCTCTCTCTCCCCCCCTCCCTCCCTCCCTTAGACCGTTTTGCTTATTTCTCTGTAAGTTTGTTTTGTTTTGTTTGATTCTTCTTTGAGGAACTGTTCAGTTGTACGACTGTAGAGAAAGTCAGAGTTCATAGGTTCTGAATCAAATGAAATTTCTTGGGAGAACAATAATACTGTAAGGTAAATCTGACGTCACAAATGCTTGTGCGCCAATCGCTACAGTGTAGCGCTTTTGGTAGGTTGTTTTTTTTAAACTTTGGTTTAATATGTCTTTCTGAAGTAGGCAAGTGGGGGGTTGGCGGGTGCTCTGATGTGGTTTGCTCCTTCTTTCCTATCAAACATCTGTCGTCCTTGACTCCCCTTCTTCTTTTTTGTGTTTGTTACTCTCTTGTAACACCTCTAATCTTCTGGCGCTCATATGACCTTATGCAGTTGCGAGTACCGTAAAACCTCTACTAAAACAAAACGAAGTGGGCAATTCAGCTTCACCAACCTCTATGCGGTGTTACCAACGCTGCTTGACATCGTTTGTAAGTAGGAGCTCACATTCAACTTGGCCACTGGAGTTTCAAGAACTATTTTACTTTAGTGAACGTCAACTTATGCACGTTTCTTTCGTGCTTTATTATATAACAGATGAGGGGCTGGAACGTACTTTTTGCAGTGAGGGGAAAGGGGGGGGTGACTGTTAGTTTCATAGTGATGTTTTGTTGTCAAACAGCGTGTTGTGTCGGTGGGCAGGGCATGATTATCCCGTGTCCAACTGCCCTTGTACAGTTTTGCCATATGCTTCTTGTTTGAATGTCTTGCGCATTCGCCTGTCCTAAAAAGGCAAGAGTGCTTAGGACGTGCCACGTTTGATCCCCTGCAATGACAGACCCGTAAGATAATTCACGACTGATTGTTTTAACCGTGAGTCATCTTTTAAGACACTGATTCGCTAAATGATAAAATCATAACCTGCGCCTATATAACTGTTTCAAGTGCGGTATCTGTACACCTACAATATTGAATATGTTCTATCTATTGTTTTGTTTTGTTAGCATTGTTCTAAAGCGCATAGCCTCAAAGGTTTAAGAATCTCGGTGGCCTTGAAAGTCGTGTGTGTTTCAGTGAAAGATAGAGCACATGTTAACGCACGTCAAGCTGAAATAGATCTGATGAAAACCAAACAAGCAAGGCATAATACAAAATAACAGCCACCTAGAAAATAACTTTAAGCAATTCCCTACAACTGGGCCAGAACTTTGGTCTTTCTAAAATTGAAGAGCCTCTCTCAGTAGACAAGGACTTTGAAGAACGTGCTTGTTCCTTTAAAACTTGTTTGGCTGTGAGTGACACCCAAATACCGTCTCTCGTATGTGCTGATTGGACATGTACTCACTTGAATACCCCCCTGCCTTGAATCCACCCCACACACATTTTCTTCCCACGTCGCTTCAGACCACTCGCGATCTTTCCCAGCTCCCTTCAGCAGTTTTTCCTGTGATATGGAAGAATCTTGATGCGCCCATTTTCTTTTTCTCCAAATACATTGCCCGGGTGCGATATGCACTTCACAATTATTGCGTTAAGTATCTATGTGTGTCTACTTGTAAAAGAGTATATTTACTGGTCGTTATTGTATGAGTTCTCAAAATACAGAAGCGTCAATAGTAGAACAACACAATGTGAAATTTCGCTTGACTTTTGAAGAAGTGACTACTGTTTCACCCTATAGAAAGGTGGGACGAGTCACCTTTTTCCCAAAAGCTTAGGTTGTATATGGCAAGGGACCATATAGCCGTCAAACAGGGACAGAAGTGGCTTTGCCTCATTTGTTTACGGACACCAGATATTACACTCATCTATGTGTATTTTTGTTTTCATACTCATATCCTTCTCTTCTTGTTATAAAATAGAGTAATTGCATGCTGAAAGAATGTGAAGCAAATATGTGCGTGTGTGTGTCTATTGTGCTAATGTTTGATTATGTATAATATATGTACGTATATGCGTGAGTTGAGTGAGCATGCTCTGTAGTTGCTCAGTATGTCTGGCAACATATTTTTAAAAATTAAATATGGTAGGAAGTAATGACTGTAATACATATATGAGGCAGTTTTTTTATACGCTTGTACACTTGTAAAACAGTCTAGTTGATTATTTTTTCTTACGAAAAGGATGAGAGTTACCAACGTCTGTTCGATCAATAAGTAGTTTCTTTTTAATTTCAAAGAATACAAAGTGCGAAGCGAAGCTGCCAATATCCTAGATAATCTAATATGTGTTGATGTGAATGTAAAATATCTAATTACATAATTCCTAACAGATAATTGAAAGTAGAAGTGGTACTAAACATGAGTGGGCATCGGCGTTTTTCATCTAAGAGGAGTTACTTTTCAGATGAGCGTCCCATGAGTTTTTTATGCCTTTTCTTTGTGATATTTTAAAACGCTTGCCCCTCTTTATTGAGACGGTCTAAGATATAGGAGAAAAAAAAGAGAAAGAAGACGTTTTTTGCTCTCGTTCTATGGTTAACAATCAATGTTAAAACTTTATCTAAAACGAACTTCCCCTTTTATACAAACCGTCGTTCAGTTGTTTTAACATTGCAAACTGGTTTCCTACAAACCATTCTGTTGTATTAATATTTCAAACTGGTTTCTCAGAGTGATGGAAAGGTCAAACAAAAGTCATCTTTTGAAAAGTTATACATTTTCTGCTGTGATATATTTTCCTGTTTGTATATTGTCTCCCCCCCCCCCCACGTCAACATTCCTAATTTTGTTATTGATTTAATTTATTATTTTAACAGTTTGGGATGTAGTTGAAGGAATGCTTCTCAGCTGAGATTTAAATCCCACATCCAGCCTTCCCAAAGAAGTATCCAAGTCCGCTTTGTAAATGCCTAAGGAGAGAAATGCGCGTTCTATTCCCAGGTAACTACACGTGCATCCGTGCAGACTTTTACCTGTCGAGGAGCTATGGCTACTACGTGGCCCAGGTGTACATTCCCAGCGTGCTAATCGTGTCCCTGTCCTGGGTGTCCTTCTGGCTGGACATCGAGGCCGTCCCCGCCCGGATCTCTCTCGGACTCCTTACAGTACTCACCATGACCACACAGAGCGCCAACGCGCGTGCACACCTGCCCAGAGTCTCTTACATCAAGGTAAGACAGGAGGAAAACGGGGTGAAAGAAAGGGGGAAATGGGGGAGGGAGGGGTAGAGAAAAGAGAGAGAGAGGGGAGGGGGGGAGGCAGAGAAAGAGAGAGAGAATAAGGGAGTAGGAAGGGGAGAGAAACAGCGACAGAGAGGGAAATAGGGATAAAGAGAGACAGAGAGAGAAAGAGAGAACCGGGGATGGAAAAAGAGAAAGAAAAAGAGAGAGAGAGAGAGAGAGAGAGAGAGAGAGAGAGAGAGAGAGAGAGAGAGAGAGAGAGAGAGAGAGAGAGATAGAGAGAGAGAGAGAGAGAGAGAGAGAGAGAGAGAGGGGGAGAGAGAGAGAGAGAGAGAGAGAGAAGGGATGGGGGGAGAAAGAGAGAGGTGGGGGGGGGGCAGAAACCGAGAGAGAGAGAGAGAGAGAGAGAGAGAGAGGGGGGGGGGAAGAGAGAGGGACATGGCTGGGGAAGAGGGTTGGGCAGACAGAAAGCAGCGAGGAGGGAAGGAAGGGAAAATGAATGAATCAATTTCTCAATGATAATACTGTACTATGATGCGAAAGAAAGAAAAAATAGAGAAAAAAGACCGAAAAAGGTAACTGACATTAAGAGAAAGATTAGTGAGATTATTCCCCTCGTTTCAGAAGAAAATGTGAGGCAGCGTGGTAGAATCAGGCTCTCGTCAATTTTGGGGCATGAAGAGTTATTGGTATCGTCTTAAAGCTTGTTCACTTGTTTTATTTGATTGAAAAAGATATCCATTTATCTTGAATACAAGTCGAGATATTTGTGAATGAAGGAGGTGGGGGGTCACCTATTTTCAGAGATAAAATTAGTTAGAAAATAACCGCCAAAGATTAGTTACTTCCTTAGCTTAAGAGTCCTTGGTAACTGAAAATATAGATTTTTTGTGCCTTCTATCAACGTTTTTG